AGTGGGGGTGGGAGCTGACCCTGGTCTGTCCCAGAGTAGGAGCCCAGTGCCTGAGAGCTCTGCACTTTGGTGGCCAGCTTTGGAGGAGCTGCTAAACAAACTGTGTGACCTTGCGTAAGTGACTTTCCCTCTCTGAGCTTCAGTTGGTCCATCTGCAAGTTGGGGCTGATTACAGTGCCTACCTCACAGTGGCTGTGAGGTTGAGTTAGTAGAAATCAGGAGCTGAGAACACAGCCCAGCGAGGGAGAGGACCTCCTTATAGGCTTGGTGTTCCACTCGGGCAAGAAGGGCCCAGTGCAGCAGGAGCTCAAGCTGGAAGGAGCCACAGAAGCCCCCCTGCCTGCATCTCCCCTCCTGCTTGCAGCCACCCTGCTAAGTGCATGTGCGTGTGCATGGCTGTCTGCATATGGGTCCATACATGTACATGTGCACTGTGTGTGTGCCTGCTTATGCAGCTGTATTGTGTATCTATATGTACATCTATGTGTGCCCATGTGTCTACATCCTGGGTCTAGCGTCATGTGCATCTCTGTGTGTGTCCATCTAAACGTGTGTCTGTAGTGTCTGTGTGTATATCTGTAACTGATTCTCTGTGACTGTGTGATGGTGTATATCTGTGCTGTGTATACTGGATGTGAATGTATCTCTGGGCATACATCCACACTTGTTGCTGTGTATCCGTGTATATCTGTGTGTGTCTATGTGTCTGGCTGTAGCTGTTTGCATCTTTGTGGGTCTGTGTGTGCTTGTGTGTCGGAGTGTGTGTCTGTGTATCTCCACGTGACATGTGTGTCTGTGTGGACCACACGCACATATATAAGTGCATGTGGAGTTGTGGCATCTGTCTGCAGAGCTTGGGAGGTGCTCTGCCAGACGGAACAACCCCATGAGCTTGGGGCTGCAGCCCTTGCCCGACTGCATTCTTCCTCTCCTTTCGGGACCGTTCACCCATTCCCAGGGGAAGCAGAGCCCCTCCAACACTCCCTGGAAGGCTTCCCGCCTTCCCCAGATGACCAACCTTCCCCTCCACCTTCCAGTGCCGACTCACACGGGCCCCACCCTCTCTGTGTGTCAGTTTCGTTAGTTTCCTGTTTCTCATATTGCCCTTCAGGTATGGAACCTTCCCACTACTCCTGCTGTCAATGACCATGAGGAGCACCGCTGTGACCCCCACCACCCCAGGGCACTCACAGCAGAAGTTTCAGAGAGACGGCCTGGAGAGTATTCGTGACAAGACAAGGCCGACACAGGGGCAACGCCCCGCCAGGCCTCCCAGAGCCTCTGCCCACTGACCTCACCACTTACAACAGCTGTAACCCCAAAGGGGGACTAGAGGGACTCTTGGAGGGGGTCAGTGTGAGGGGCCGAGACCTCCAGGTCTCCGTTCATTTAGTGAGATACTCTTTGATGGCTTAGTGTGTGCCAGGAGGTTAGGGTAGCTGCCTTGGTCTCCGTAGCCACCCTGTGAGGTAGGTCCCGTTCCGGCCTTAGTCATTGAGAAGAGAAAGCGGAGACCCAGAGGAGTTCAGCAACCTGCTTGAGGTCACAGAGCCAGTGAGGGCAGGGCAGGGCAGGGACCGGGGAAGATGTGATGGCCTTCCCTCATCACAGAGCACAGCACTAGTGTCCTGACGACACCCTTCCCTCATTCAGTCAGCGGAGCTGTGGGTGGGCCTGACACCTCTGTGTGTCCAGTGCCCACTGTAGCCATCACCTAGGGGGGCTTCACAGCGACCCCGGTTCCAGATCAGGAAAGTAGAGCTCCGAAACGGGCAGAGACCTGGCCAACCCCACAGAGGCTGCCAGGGCAGGGTGCGGGTTTGCCCGGCTCCATTCTCTAAGCCCACAGCAAACCTCAGCTTTCCCTTGCTTGAAGCTGAAACTGTCACCAGTGGACATGGGTGACTCCACAGGTAAACTTCTTTTCCGCCAATTCCACACTGCCTCTACCAAACCCAGGAAAAAGATATCACAGTGAAATCTACGGAAGTGTCGCAGACACCTGCTCCGCACCTGCCGCCTTCCCAAGGGGTGGGGAGTAGGAATGCGTCCCCACCCAAAGGTGCTGTGCACATCTCTGAGCCAAAATTTGGAGAAATGGACATCATTTGTGGGGTGGGGTAAGCCAGTGGGGGCCTGAATCCTCCACCTCTGTCTGAACCCCAATACAAGCCCACCATGGTGGACTTACCTACTCCGACTGTGGTAAAATGAAGTATTTCACTTCTAGGAGAAATGTTTTTAGGACAGGAGCCGCTCTTCCAGGTGAACAGGGCCTCTTCCCACTCCCTGGCCACGCAGAGCTCTGAGACGGTTCCCGAGCGGCAGCTCAGGGCCCTGAAGCAGAGCTCCGTTTGTCCTTGGCCTTGGGTGTAGCTGGTGGTGGTTCAATAGGACGCACAAGGCCACCAAAGGCTGGCTGGCTGCGTTAAGTTCTGCAGGCAGTGACTGTGCCCCTGACCCTGGCCAGCTGCTTCCTCAGGCCCTGAAAGAGCTGGCCAGGGCCTTGCAGGAGCCCAGGCTACAGAGTATAAGTGACTGCATGTGGGCCTTCTCTGCTTCAGGCAGCTCAGCCCCAAAACTTACAGGATTTTCCTCCTGAAAAGGTGTTATTTAAGAGGAACGAGCAGCTCTAGAATCAGGGAGCTGATGATGCTCTCCCCTAGGGCAGAGCTAGAGAATCATTTCAATCTCATCAAAGACACTGACTCTTGAAGTCAGAGGAGAGAAAGGCCAGAGAGGGTAAGGAGCTCGCCTAGGGTCACACAGCATGATAGTGGAAAGGTTTGGATAAACCCAGCCCTGGGCTCCTTACTCTGCACCTGCTGGCTCCCCAGGAGGTGGACGGCATGAATTCATCCCCACCCAAAGATGCTGTCCACATCTTTGAGCCAAAGTCTGGTACCCTCTGTCCATTTTAGCCAAGGAAAAAACAGTCCCTGAAGACGCATTTCCTGTAACAGAGCAGAGCAGGGCTCCCCTGATGAGACAGAGCACCAGTGAACCCACATGGCAACAACTGCCAAGGAGTAGGAACAGCAACAGAGAACTCGGGCCCAGCCTGGGGAAGCGACGGGTGCTCCACCACGGTCCCCACAGCCCCTGCACCCTCCCAGCACACCCCACCTAACGCCAGCCCTGAGCTGACAAATAAATCACAGCCAAGTGGTCGGGGCGCCAAGGCTGAATGGCAGGAAAGGTGGAAGCAGGGTGGCCTCTCCACTACCCACCCACCCCCGCCATTCAAAGTGAGGCTGAGACCGGACAAAGCACTTGGAAATGAACGGCACTCTGGGGACACCTTTTTCAGACTCCCGCCTTTGACCTTGAGCACCCACCCCCGCATCTGGGATGGGCTGGCCCTTTCCCCAGCTCTGCCCATCCTGTCCTCTGCCTTTTCCCACACAGCGTGCACCACACACTCACAGGTGGCATCGGGGCTTTCTACACTGTAATCACGGAATTACAGGGCTACTTATTTGTGGAGGCCAAGAGACGGTCTGCACAGGGGACCACATCTTCTGGCCCTAGACAGCCAGAACCAACGCTTTTAAGAGCATTTGAAAAAAAAAGAGCATTTGAAAGGGTAGAAGCATAAAGAGAACCCACTGCCAAAATGCACAGGACCCAAGGGTTGTGCTATTGGTCCCGATTTTTATCTGAGTAGAGTATATTTTTACTTCAATTTACTCACTGGTTTGATATGTTATTTATATATTTTTCCCTAATATAGGTAAAGATAAAACACAATCCTTGTTAAAGTAAAAATTGGGGGGCTGGGGATTTAGCTCAGTGGCAAAGCGTCTGCCTGGCAAGTGCAAGGTCGTGAGTTCGGTTCCAGGTACCAGAGAAAAACCAAAAAAATAAATAAATAAATAAATAAATAAAGTAAAAATTGGTAGCTCACAGGAGCTGCTGGAGGCATGCATATCAGGTTTTGGAAAACTGCCCTGGCCCACCCCTGCCATCCTAGGGATAGGGAAACTGAGGCCTGGCAGTGGGAGAAGCCAGTCCAACATCCACTGCGAGGCAGTGGCAGCGCCACCCTTAGAACCCAAGCCTGCCTCGCAGCAAGGCTCATCCTTTAGGGAGAAATGGCCTCAGACTGAGGTTACCTGGGCACTCAGAAATGATCCCATTTGTCACAGAACCTGAGGGACCCTGTCCCAAAGGCTGAGCACTCATCCCAGGAACCCTCTGAGCCATGGTCAGACCTGGACAGCCCCCTGCCCTGGCTCCCTGATGGCCCTGCGCAAGGTGTCCCCTCGTTCATGCGCAAGGGTTCCTCATCTTCCAGGACCATAGCGACATTGGCAGCTCCTGGCAGGGAGGGGATTGCTATGGAAACAGACATGGGAGTAAGGTTTGTCATCACCCCGTGCTCGCCTCCTATCCTTCCCTCTGGGAGGCGGGTGGAGGTTCTGCAGGTGAGAGGAGACAGACTGGGCTAGAGGGGGAGGACGGCAGGGCCGTGGGACAAGGCGATGACCTTGCCGGCCGCCCAGCAGGCTTCTCACCTGGAGGCAGCCAGCAGGGTACTGGGTGACAGGTAGAAGGCCAAGAAAGAGGTCACACGGGCCCTGGGAATAGGGACACACCCCCACGCTGCAGATGGGCACACGCACGTGCACATACACACCACCCTCAGACATTCACTCACACTCACTTGTACAGACGCGGGCAACCCGGAGCCTTGCTGCACAGCCCCTCACCCACCCTGGGGGCACAGAGCGGGCCGCCTGTGTCTTTCCTCCCCCAGCTCCAAGTCCCAGGCTTGGCGGGCGGCGTCCTTGTCCCGCTGCCTGGGAGACACATGTGGTTTCAGTTAGCGGCAGAGCGGGCATTTCCGTCCCAGACGGCGGGGCTCTGCCAGGGCCCCAGCCCCACAGGAGCCCACAGAAAGGGCCACCTCTGGCCCACTCCCCGCTGGCTGTCCCAGGAACCCCAGAAGTCTCTCTCCTTGGCAGACCCTGCTGTCCTTCCCTCGGTCATCCGCTCACCTGGAGCTGGACTTTGCAGCCACTCACGCAGGGACTGGCCTGCTGTTCCCGGCCTCCGTCCACAGCTGCCCAGCTGCCCAGCTGCCCGCCGCCTGCCCGCCAGCCTCCTCACGCGCGCTCTGTCTCCAGCAGGCTGAAAGGGATGGAAGGAGGGCAGGGTGTCAGGGGGGCGGGCGGGAGGGAGGGGAGGGGGCGTGTGGAAATGAAACTTTAATAACAGAGCCCCTTTTGTTTCCGAGCATATGGGATATTTCATACATGCTGAAGACATTAGCCGTCTATATTTTTAAGGGCTCGGGCTAAAGGATGAATAAATACAGCCCATATTCCGCTCAGCAAACACACATGCAGAGTGCTGACTTCTGGAGCATTTCAAAACTCAAAGAAAAAGCCCCCAGTGACACCGGACACTTAAAAATAAATATGTTTCCAAAGCCTGGGGCTAGCCTTGCCCCTTCTTGGAGCCACCTGGAGGCCTGGGGCTCCTTCCTCCTACACCACTGTCCCCACCACGCCCCCACCCCTCTGCTCTGGAGTGGGAAGTGAGCCCCTGAGACCCAATCCTCCATCCCAATTCCCTTTCGCAGGGTCCCCAGCCCCCCTCGGATCCCAGAGTGGCAGAGTTCCAAAAGAGCTCGGAAATCTCTGCCCTCCTTGCTGCTGAAAACCATGCCAAGGCCCAGAAAGGGGCAGGGACTTGCCTGAGGTCACACAGCAAGCACATCAGGATCTTGGGCCGGGGGGCAACGTTTCTTCTTTCAATAGTGTGGATGTCCCACTTCCTCACCTTGGGGGTGAGGGTAGGGAGACCCCGGCCCCCAGAGGGGTGGACGACGTGGGCTGGGAGTGTGCCCGCCTGCGTTCCCACTGGAGCTGTGCTCCGGGCTCCCACCCCCACTCTGGGCACCCATCCAAGGACGACGTCAGAGGGCTGAGCAGGGCCGGCCCGAGGAAATCCCCTGCAGGCTGGCAGATCCCAACAGGCCTGGAGGCCTCAGGTGTGAGAGCCTCCCTCCCTGACAGCTTAGCTCCCAGTGCTCTGATGCCCTCCATCTGTCTTCAGGAAGAAAACAGAGGCCTGGGGAGGGCCGGGCCTTCCCAGTCACACAGCAGGACAACGCAAGGGCAGAACACTGAACCCAGGTCTTCCGAGCCTGCACTGCTCAGCCTGTCTTTGCCTCTAAGCAGGGCTCCAGCTCCCTCCGGCCGGCGCCCCTGCTGCGTGGTCCACACAGTGTCCCCAGCTCGCCCAGGCGTCCTGCAGAGGCAGCCTCAGTTTACCACTCCTGTTAGCATCCTGGCCTTGTCACCCCTCATCTCATCACGCTTCAGCCAAGTGGCACAGCACCGGAGAGTTGGAGGTACCCAGAGTAAACGCCAGCAGCCGATTGTGCAAACGCCAGTGCAGCCCCTGCCCGGCCAAGCTTGATCCTAGCACTGGTGCCACGCAGTCCCCGTGAGACAAGCCCACACAGCCCGGAAACCTCGGCCTGCACCTTCACGGGCCTCTGCTCTGGGCAGATACACTGCTGTCAGGACCATGGTCATCTCCACTGGGGACACTGAGACAGGAGAGGGCTGGAGCTTGCCCAGGTCACACTGGTGGTGAATGACGGGGCTGGGCCTCCAGCCAGGCTTGCTGACTCCAGATCTACCATGCAAAGCCCTCCACAGATCACTTGAGGCTTGTCCCCAGCCCTGGGCCCAAGACCTTATGGGCCCATCTACCACTTTATTTAATTATGGCCACTTGCTTGACCCTGCCAGGCAGAACACCCATGAAGAAGGGCACTGGTGTAGGAGCTGGAGACCTTGTCCTGCCACTAGTGACCTGTGGAGGTGCCCTCTCTAAGGACGCAGTGGAGATGACCAGCTCACCAAGTAAAGATGCTCACTTGATGAAAAGCATGTGATAGGGGCTTCGCCCAGTACCTGGTGATTTCCCTGTCTGGAGTTTCACATTGTGATGGATCCTGGCATTAAATTCCGTCTGGGTTCCAACAGGCCCTGACTGGTCTAGTTGCCCATGGGTGGCCCTTGACATAACTGCTTCTGGCCCCAGAGCCAGCTTCCCAAAGAAGCCTTGGATCTTGATGCCCAGCTGTAGACCTAGAACAACTCCTATTGTACCAGCCAGCTGATGGGTTGGGGGGCATTTAAGACCCTGTGATCTTGTTCCCCGCCTCAGCCGCCCCCTTCTTCCCTACCCAGACCCTCTGCCCACATCAACCTGGTCCCTCGGGCCACCAGGAAGGCCCCCCATCACCTGTGGTTCTCTTCTACCCCATCACTGGCCTGCTGGGGAGGGAAGTCTGGGAGCGCTGGCGCAAGGGTGTGGACCTCACTACCGGGGAAGCTCAGAGGCCTTTCCAGAGGGGGTTTCCCAAGTTCCAAGCTGTGTTCTGCATTAGGAAGTGTTTCAGAGCCCTTGTCCTACAATCAGTTTTTTCATAAAACAGTACTACTGCCATTGGTGGCACACTGGCTCTGCCAGCCCCACGCTAAGTGCTCTGTATGCACTATCCGTACATCCCTGACCACCCCTTAGCTGGGAAGGAAGCAGGACTCCTCACCTAAAGCCCCCAGCCTGTCTGCAGCACAGCTGGAATCCCAGCGTGGCTGCTGACTGCAGCCTATGCTCCTAACTGCTGCACAGGTGAGCTCGGAATCAGTGTTTTCTAGTCCAATGCAGCATGAGCTCCAGGGGGCGTGAGGCTCGGCCTCCGACTTTCCTGTCTCTGCAGCAGAGCTAACCACAGTACTTCTTTCTGAACTGTCATCAGTGAATATGTATTGAGCTAAACACTACTGGTTCTGGCTAGATTCCTGGATGGAATGTGAGTGTGTGTGCTCTGTGAGTGTGCCATGCTACCTGGAGGGCAGTGGGTATTCACAGGTGTGATCCCGTTGAGATGAGATAAGGGTTTTACCTGCTGTTTCTGATCTCAGCCAATTCACCCCTCCTCGGGCAACCTGGAGGCCCCTCCCAGGAGGTCACTTTATGGATGCCAAATTCGATGAGACCCCTGACCTGCCTAGTGCACTGGGTTCCAGAGCTTCTGGGCTCAGGGATCCTCCTGTCTGGAGGGTCTGGAGGGTCAGGGGTGGGGAGGAGAAAAAAAGTCCAATGTCCAGCAAAGCAGACCCTTGACAAAGAGCTCAGAATAAGAGGTGTTCAGCAGGGATGTGAAGCTAGAAGCAGCCCCAAAGTGTCCCCCACTAGCCAGCCTAGCAGAAGTCACAGGAAGACACCGGGGATTGTCTTGGTTTTCCAAGGAAGGTATACTAAGACACAGCAGGAAGTCTCCACACCCTCAGGTCACAGCCTGAGCATGGAGGCTTCTTGCCAGGGTTCAGGATGTGAACATGAGGGCCATTGCTTGTCATAGATGCTACTGGCTGGGTACTTGGTGGGGTCAGTGGTATAAAACTCATACATCATCCTTCCTTACCCTCCATCCTCTACACCCTGACTCTGTCCATGAGTGGGGAGCCTGAGCCAGAGCAAGACACTGCTCAGAGGACTCCATCTCCCCAGGGGTCTTTGCAAGGCACCCAGGCCCTGAGAGGGCAAGTCCCAGGCCCAGGAACCTTCAGCTCTGGCAATGCAACCTTCACCAGGGCCCCCTCCGACACATGAGCCATCCTGATCGGATCACCGGTAATTGAGTTGCTCTGGGGGGTAAATTCTATCCAGATGCGGAGGGTGGGGTGGGCTTCCTGAGTGGAGCAGGGGGCAGGGCACTGATACGCAGGGGCCATGAAGTCACCGTGCCAAGTACCCAGCAAACCTGGGAAAGAACACTGTCTTCTAAAAAGCCAGAGGTGGAATTCGAAGGTCAGGATCTGAGTCCAGCTCCCTTGGTGGGCAGAGGGAGAAACTGCAGTCTAGAGAGCAGAAGGGACGAGTTCCACAGTGGCCAGTGGATTTGCTGGGTCAGGACCCCTGATGAACTCCTATCAGGCCAGATCTCTTCTATCTGGGGGTTTTGAGATGAAAATAGACAGCATAGCCTCCTCTTTCAGAAATCCCCAAGTTCTGGGTTAGGAAGTCAGGAACCGGGGGGTTAGGAAGCAGATAATCTGTGGCTGGGGGAGGCCTTAATCACCTCCAGCTTGAACCCCAAACCAGGGAGCACTCTGCAATCTGCTCGAAGCACAGAGAAGGCTCCAGGGAGAGGACTACAAACGCCACGTCCCCCGCCTCGTCCCTTGCCTCGCGCGCGTCGGGGGCAGCCTGTGGTCTGGTCCTCTTTTCCCAGGGGAGGCCCCTCCATGTCTCTCCTTTGACCTCGGCTGGGCCACATACCTTCCTGGCTCCTTTGGGCCGACTTACTGGAAGGCAGGAAGAGGCCAGCCAGCCGGGGGTGGGGGGCATGAGAACTTGGAGAGAATGAGAGGAAATGAGGGGGGAGTGGGCTGGGGTGGGGGGAGCCTAAGAAGGGAATTTTTTTTCCTCCTGCCTCATGTTTTGGCTGCCTCAGTGTGAACATGTCTAGGCGCCTTATCGTGAAGGCCAGCACAGCCTGCACGAGAAAGAAAATAGTGTCTGCAGTGGGAAAACCACATCTTGATAAAACAACCCTTAGGAATGGCACTGGGGGGCTCTTATCAGCAGGCGGCTGGGGCCCACATAACTCTGTCTGCCTGTCCACAGGCCTGGCCTCCTTTCTCCCTCCCCACCCCCTTCTCCCACCGTACTCTCCTCCCTGAAAGCAGCCAGGAGAAGCCAGGAGACCCACATTCTAGTCACGGCTCTGGCAAGGATTCTGTGTGACCTGGGTCAAATTCCCTCCCTTCTCTGAGCCTCAGTTTCCCTTCAGTAAAGTATAGGGATGGATGGGATGAACCAGATGGCTTCTAAAGATCTTTGTGGCATTATACTTTGTGATGCTGACATTTTTGTACTTGGTGATTCTATATGTTATGAAGTTTCCAACCTCCAACCAAATGCCATCCCTTGCTAAATGTCTTTCTTTTTCTTTTTCTTTTTTTTTTTTTTTTTGGTACCAGGGATTGAATCCAGCACCTTATACTGAGCTACATCCCCAGCCCCATTTTTTAAGAGGCAGAATCTTACTAAATCTCTAAGTTGTCCTGGTTGGGCT